CAGGGGCCGGGCAGCCGGCGGCCACGCAGCCCGGGGTCCCGCGCGGAGCCGTGGCGGGGAGCCCGGCTGCCCCCGCTCGCCGCCGCCGCCGCCTTGAGCAGCGACGTCTTGGACTCGCTCTTGGCGATGTGCGAGCTCATCGCGGCGGGGCCCGCGCTCGCATGGCCCGGCGGGGGTGGCGCGGGGCCCCCGGAGGGCAGGGAGCGGGGCGCCCGGCGGGAGCCGAGCCCGAGGACGCGCTGCAGGCGGGCGCCGTCCCCTGGCCGCTTAAATGCGGCCCCGTCGCCGCCGCCCATGTGACAGCGCAGCCTCTGCGCCCGGAGCCCCGAGCTCCCGGCGGCCGGCGCTGCGGATCTGGGGGGGCAGCCTGCTGTCCCCCGAGAGCCCACCCCCGGCTCTCCCGCGGCCCAGGTGCCGCCGCGCCCCGCCCCTCGCCCCGCCCCGCGCTCGGGGAGTCCCGCTTCCGGGCGCCTCTGGCGGCCGAGGGGGCGCTGCGGCACCGAGCACTAGCACCAGGGAGGGGGCCGGCCAACCTCCCCCACGGAGACCGCTGGAGCCCCCTCATCATCACGCCTGGAGGATCCCTCGGTGTCCGGGATCGGCCAGTCGCTCCCAAATTCAAGCAAGGGTGCACTTCCCAGGGAGAGCAACTTTGGCAATAGGATCCAAGAAGTGCAGGACGCTAGAGACTCAGCAAGGCACTCTGTGACACCACCCAAACGCAGGAGCCGGATGACCTGGAAGGACAATGCTAGAAGGAATGAATCTATGCATCATCTCATCCACCTTCCACACGGTGCAGCGGGACCAGAACTGCCCGGGCAAGCCGGCTACAGAATTTACAGTTGTCACGACAGAAGAGGAGCCAGGTGGCATCTGGCTGCTTTACCTGTCCTGCAGCGCCTGGTGGTGATCGAGTTCCTGGTAGGACCCATTTGCTGTACTTGCTTCTCCACCCAGCCGCCCCTGCCCTTCTAGCCTTAGAGAGACTTCTGCCCTTGGTAGGCAGCCAGGAAGTCACACTGGGCTGCTTTCAGTCCCAGATCCCGGCTCTGCAGCTTGCCATCTGGGTAGCTTGGGCAAGTGTCATCAACTTCCCTGAGCCTGCTTTCACTCTTCTGTGAAATGCAAATCATTCTTCCAAATTAAGTTCTTGGTGACATCAGAAGATGTGGTGCATACAGAAGACCTGAGCAGGAGCTCGGACAGGACCCACGTGCCGTTAGCCGGGTCTCTTCACGCTGCACCTCCTGAGGCCCTTCCTACCACTGGTGTTTAGTATAGAAGAGTTAGGATTTGGAGGTGGGGACGGCTCCTTACTTCACCCACTTTGCAGTCTCATTAGGATAGATGGGCAGGCTCCCCAAATTACACCGGTTTCCAGGAGGACCTTCTTTTCCGCATGGTGTGCTTTTATTTACGCCTGTGCAAGAAAGAAAGATGGATCTGGGTGTGGTATCGAATGCCTGAAATCCCAGCCCTTGGGAGGCTGAGGTGGCAGGATTGCTATGAACTTGAGGCCAGCTTGGGCTAGCTTGTTCAAGTACTCCTACCCTTGGGGGGAAAAAACAAATCTGGGTGTGGTGGCACATGTCTGTAATCCCTTGGGAATTGCAACCAGGAGGATTAGAATAAGGAGTTTCAGGCCAGTATGGGCTCCATGAAACTTTGTCATAAGAGAAAAATAAAATAAAAGGAACCAGATAAAGTGGTGGTGCATGACTTTAATCCTAGCACTCAGAGGCAGGCAGATCTCTGTGAGGCCATCATAGTCTACAGAGAGACTTACAGGCCAGTCAGAGCTACGTAGTGAGACATGTCTCAAAGCAAGCAGGAAAGTAGATAAACACAAAACAAACTAATAATAATAATAATAATAATAATAATAATAATAATAATATCCCAGGGAAAGCAATTGCACAGAACCAAAATAAACAGGGGAAAAATTTTGAGTTAATTCGCAGTTCACTTCATGTGAGGGACAGAATTACCTCATCAAAGCGCCTCAGGGTCTTAGCCACCAATATGGAGGTATGGGGCAGGGGCCAAGAGGGGACTGTAGCCGGGTACAGTGGCACACGCCTGTAATCCCAGGTCTCAGGAGCCAGAGCCAGAGGATCTCTGTGAGTCTGAGGTCAGCCTGGCCTACAAAGCCAGTCCTGGACAACCAAAGCTGTGCAGAGAAACCTGCCTCGAAAAACCAAAATAAATAAATAAATAGAAGTGGGGGCACTGTAACCCTAAGAACTCTTGGAGTAACTGCTGGGAAATGCAGGGTCTACAGGACCTACCCTTGGGCCGCAACTAACCTGCTCCAGACCTCAGAGTAACAGCATTTGGAAGATTAAAGACAATGTACATGCAACATAAAGCTCAGGAGATGAAGAACTGAGCAGAATCCCTCAGGATTCCGATAAGCAGCAAGGGCTGACTCTAAATCCCTGCTGTGCCCCTCCCTAACCTTTCTGAAGCCTCAACACTTCTGAGAAAGAACTCTGTCAGCCACTCACTTTGGAAACCTGAAGAAGATGATTATCTCACCTACAGTTATTAATACAAGTGAAGTAAATCAGAATTATGCTCACAGAATAAATGGAGGAGACATCTGCATTCACATCCCAGATAATCCTGGATGTGGGCTGGAATCTCATCTCATTTGTAAAATTTGTGAACTTGCTCGGTATCCAGTACATACGTATGCAACCAGGTGTTGCGCTGTGCACCTGCTGTGCAAAGATGCGCCCATTCACTCAACAAGTACTTGTTTGTTTGTTAAGCTGTGCAAGGGTTTGAGCCTGGGCCTAGCATGTGCTTGGCAAGCGCTCTGCCAAGGCCCTATGCCCCAGACCAAACGGTGCCAGTTTAGACAGCTATTAGAGAAGGCATCTCCGAATTGGGATTTTTTTTTTTTTATCAGAAAACAAAACGAAGTAAAAGAGCAAGTTACATATCCATCTGGGAAAAGAGAGGAGAGATTCGATATCTGGAGATGAAGAGAGCGTGCTGTGCTTAAGAAGCAAGGAGGGCTGGTGGAAGGAAACGCAGGGGTCGGACACACACCTTGGAACACGGCGTTGTTTATAACGCAGCCTCATCACTGTGGGTGGGGAGTGTGGAAGTGAGGCAGCCGGCAGGTGTTGTCCTGACATACAGGTGAGAGGTGATGATGGCTGGGACTGGGGTGACAGGCGGTGGAGGCGGTAGGAAGAGGCGAGATCCATGTAAGTAAGATCCCACCAGGCAGGGCAGTGTGCCTGCAATCCCAGCACTCTAGGGGACCTAGAGTTCAAGATCATCCTTGGCCACAAAGAGAGTTCGAGACCAGCCTGAGTTACAAGAAACCCAGACTCAAAGCAAAACAAACAAAATGTAACGTCCGGGAACTTGAAACACACACACATACACGCGCATGCACACTCACGCGTGCGCACTCGAGCGCGCGCGCGCGCACACACACACACACACACACACACACACACACAAAAAAAAAAACAGAGGAGAAAGCCAACCATAATACAAGGGGAAGAAGGCAATTAGGAAATTACAGCCTGGGTTCTGTGGAAGCTTCAGACAGAACCTTCAGGGAGATACTGATGGCTGCAGAGGGAAGTGACATTTAAGTTGCTTTTTTGAAGGGCAGGTGAATTCTATCAACTGAATGAAGAGCGTCAGGGGAAGGTCTGTCCACACAGAGGGAAGAGCTCGTGCATGCCTGGACCGCTGAGTGCACTTGGGGAAGTGCCTGGCAGTTGAGGAGGAGGAGGGGAGAATAAGGGTGACAGGGCCAGGAAAGGTAGTTGGAACCAGACTGTGGAAGATCTGGAATGTGACAGTGGAGCGTTTGAACTTTATGACAGTGAGCGTTCAGTGGAGGACCCTTGAAGATGCTGGTGTGGGGTATGATGCTATGCTAGCAGGACTGACTCTTTGTTTGCTTGCTTTTTGTTTTTGTTTTTGTAATGCAGCTATTTTGGGAAAGAGTGCTAGAAAGACAAGAGGACCAGATCAACCAGATTCGTTCATCCAACCGAAGGTAACGAGTGGTCTCCATCAGGGCGGATCAGAGTGAAGAGGACAGTGCAGGGATTCTGCCCCAGTGTCTGTGTGGAGGCGAGTGCAGACAGACAGACCCTGGCGGCTCAGGGGCCAGACGCCCATGTTCTCTAAAGCTGGATCATCTGGCATCAGGAGAGATGAAAAGCTTGCTGCTTTCACTGCACAGGCATGGGCTGGAGGAGGAAGAAATCCTAGCGAAGGGTCCAAAGGTTCAGAGTATGAGTTGGGAGGACGAACAAGACCCTGGAAACTTTGGTTTGGAGACCTAGGAAGACAGTCGTTTGAACATCAAATATGACCCAAACATCCGTGTCTATGGCTTGGACCTCCATGTGGTGCTCAGTAGGCCAGGTTTCATCACCGTGTAAGGTGTGCGGAGGCCAAGCACAGTTGACAAAGGGACAGCAGCCTGCTGGCTCCAGCATGACACCATCATTCTTCCAAAAGGCCAGTGAAGGGCTGGAGAGGTAGCTCGGCCAACACAGGCCAGTTCACGCTTCTAAATGTCAAGATTTCAGGTCCCAAAAGACCAATATAATGTCGTCACCAAGAGGCACAAAACCCAGCAACAAAGCATTAATGTACGCCTACTGTGCACCGAGCCCTGGAGACAAAAAGCAAGCGAATATCATGCATTTCTTCATGGGTACCATTTTGTTTCTTACATTTAAAAAATTATTTACTCTGTGTGTGTGTATGTGTGTGCATCATGCACATGCAGGAATCTGTGGAGGTCAGAGGTGTCTGCTAGAGCTGGAGTTAGATGGTTGTGAACCACTATGTGAGAGCTGGTATCAAACCTGGGTCCCGATACAAAAACAACAAGTGTTCTTCACTGCTGAGTCATCTCTCCAACCCCACATTTTACTAATTATTTTAAAGGGGACACAACACATGCCAGGGGGCACACATGGAGGTCAGAGGTCAAGCTGAAGGTGTTCACTCTCCACTATGTGGGTCCTGGCCATTGAACTCAGTCTGTCAGGTCTGGGGGCAAGAACCTTTACCTGGGGGCTGGAGAGATGACTCAGTGGTTAAGAGCACTGGCTGCTCTTACAGAAGACCTGGGTTCAATTCTCAGCAGCCAAGGCAGGTCACAACTGTCTGTAACTCCACTTTCAGGGGATCTGACACTCTCTCTCTCTCTCTCTCTCTCTCTCTCTCTCTCTCTCACACACACACAGCCAAAAACACTGATGCACATAAAATAAAATTATATATGAAAAAGAAGTCCTTGGGCTGAAGAGATAGCTCAGTGGTTAAGAACACTGTCTGTTCTTCCAGAGGTCCTGAGTTCAATTCCCAGCAACCACATGGTGGCTCACAACCATCTATAATGAG